CTGTATTAAATATGACTCCTTCCTAATAATAGAATGCATGAAAAAAACAGTAGAATCTGAGTAAACCTAGAAAGGGAAAGGATAGTTATTGATCAGCCGTACTGGCAGGAATTCACATCAATTTGAATACCAATTAATATAATAGTTTTCCTTTTATTGCAAAAATTTGTGTAAAATTTCCCTCTGAAGTTATTTCATATTCTTGTTTTTGCTTGTTCTATAAATTTGAAAACTAGCTCAATTTCTGTTACTTTTTTCCTATGTATGTTAGTTAGGTTAAAAGAACCCACACGGTTCATTCCTACACTGTTTCTCTTCACAAAATCGCCATTTCACAATAAATATATAAATAAATAAATAAATAAATAATCCTGTGAGTTGAAATCAACCTGCATAAATGCTATGCAATATAAAGGTAAAAAGGTAAAAAAGGTTAAAAAAAAAAAGGCATGTAAATTTTTTCCTCCAAGGGGAGGAAGAAAATAATGAACTGCAACCTACACAAAGCTCTAGTTTCTGCAGTGTCAGCAGTTCTGTAGAAAAATCAGTCCCCTATCAATGTTACACTGTTCTCTTGATTCTAGAGAGAAGAAAGGTAGAAATTATTTTGCAAAAACCTGGAAAAAATAACTTAAAATTTAAAACGCAATGGATACATCATAAATCGTGGTTTGTTAAGATGATTTAAAAGGCTTAATAACAACCAGGAGGCCAAACTTGAACTTCAATGAACTTTTTTACCTTCAGGCTTGAATTATACAGCAAAGAATATACATACAGTTTATTCCTCGCTGGAGACAGGCAAAACAGAATGCATAGGGAGTTTATATTTAATCCCTGTTTTCTCAGAATGATTCAAGAAGGCAGGGTAGAATATATTACTATTTAATATACCTTGTACATATGCTTGCTATAAAATTTTGGAAAGCCTCATTTTACTACCTTCTCTCTTAGCAGTTTTCATCATTAAGGCACAAGTGTTTATTTTAACTAATGCAAGCAATAACAATCAGCAACTAATACTTATAACCTAGAGTGAGGCAAACTAAATAATGCTTACAAGGCCTTAAAAATCACAAGGGCATGCAGATATTTTATGTCTTCTTCTCATTAGTGTATATAACCTAGGTAGCAATTTTTCTGTGTAAGAAAAATCAAAATTGCTTGAAATTATTTTTAATAGTTTTTAGGACTGTCTGAAAGATTGAATTCGTATTCTTTTTATACACTAGTTTAGTTTAAATGCAAATAAATACATTAACTAACTAAGTTGAGATAGGATTTCAAGATTTGACCAGTAGAAAAAAGTCAAAAAGATGATTCTAGTGTATGTTCAACAAATCTTACATAGCTAACACTTACGTGAATTAAGTGTGTGATATTAAAAGGTAACTTTTGCTCACAGATACTGTAACACAGAGACTACAGTATTTCCCTGCATTTGAAGTAGGAAAAAAAAAAAGCAGAATTTCAGATAATAATCTAAGATGAAGGCAATTGCACACACGAAGTCCCAGTTCACTATGTTTATAGAATTTTAAGTTCAGGGTCTTACCCCCACCTTACACCCCACTTCTTTAGTAGCAGCAGTTCTGATACAGGCACCTTTATTCACCCAGCCCTGTTAGTGTCACGCTACGCCTCTCTCTGAAACCTCTATTCTTGAATTTTGCATATAGGAAAAATAAACTCTAAACCAGGCTTACACTAAGAGTAGTCGGAATTTCTCTTTTCAGCTATGGAATACAGGAATACAGCACAACCAGCCCTAAAATGATATTTGAAATCTAAAAGTCGTTGAAAAGTCTGTTTTAAATTCACTTGCTCACGGAAGATAAGGCGTCTATCCACGGCACAGAAGTCTGCAGGTCAATATTTCAGCTCGCCTCTACCTATACACTGAGACTCTGCAAAGCTGGCCTGTTTTGCATTCCCTATGTCCCACTGACACATTTCTCTCCATTTCCATTCAAAAATATCACTGCTTACCGCACATATGGCACATAAAACAAACAAAAAAAAAGTCAACATAAATCCTGATAGAGTATGAGCTACACTGAACTACCGAACTCAACTCCTGTTTAGTGAAACAAGTCCACCGGAAAACAACTGAGCAGTAAGTTTTTTGTTGCCTCAGCGTGCTGCGCTTAGGCTCCTCGCCCAGAAGCGCAGCAGCCACGCGAATTCTAAGTGCTGCTGGTGAACTGCATATAACAAATAACCGCACCTAACAGGCGACTCCTTTACAATTTAAGATGCAAGCAAAGAATACATTTTACATTTTTTCCCAGCTTAACTAGAATCTGATTTTGTTTTGAAATCTCTCCTCATCAACTGATAATGCAACACTTCCACTTAACTAGAGGCTTTTTTTTCAATAATTTAAAACTGAGATATCTGTTTTTGTTACAATGTACAGAGAAATTAATGATCTAACTTTAGGTATGTTTATAGAATTAAGGTAACAGTACTCTACAGTGCATTATCATAACAGAAGGCACTGGACTTAAAATTTAGTTTCTTGTATATCTCAAAACCAGTTTTGTGTTCCATGAATAATATAGTGATAAAAATGAAGGAGCTGTGGGAATTGTTTAGGACAATTTTGAGCCACAGGTCTTACAAATCATATACAATGAAAGCATGCTAGCTAGGGGTTTATACAGAACAACAGAAAGGTGCACAACAGCATTTTCTTGTATGTTATTTTGCTGTTTACAGAACAACCTAAACAAACCTAAAAGTTGTTTTTCCTGCTACCATCTCACTTGTTAACTTCCTCGTAACAGATTACAATTATCTATGATCAGTACCATCTAATTTATCCAGCAAATCAGTTAATTTATCCATTAAATCAGTATATGCTTTTATGGATGCATTAACTGTAATGTAAGATCATAAACTTCTTACAATCGCCTTCTCTTCCTCTTTTCTTCCTCCACAAAAACAGTTAACAACAACTTACTCTTTTATGGCAACATTCTAATATATTTTAAATAAGTTTCTATTTTCTTGGTTTTAAAAATCAATATTTAATGACAGTATCCTGATGCACATTGAGCATCCAAAAAGGTCCTTCAGGTAGTACAGTCAGCTAGCTGAATGTACTATTTCATTTTATACAGGTTTGCTTCAGCAGCCAACAAACGCTATGGAATGAATATTATTCAGTTATAACAGTTTGTGAGTGCTATACAGTTATATAGCTATTTTTAAGGAAAATCTTCACCTTTGCATGATGGCTGAAGAAATAATTATCCAAAATCTAAGAGAGAATTTTCATCTATGCAAAAAACATCAACATGCACACATGGAAGTAAAGGTTCCAAGACGCTTTCTTGCATTTGCATTTTGTTAGTTGAAGAAAAGGACTATGATTGCCCAATATTTGCTAAGTGAGGTGTCATGGAATGTGCAATTGCTAAAGCATAGACTTGTGAACGTGTTTTGTGGAATAAAGTTGAGGAAAATCTAAGCCACAGGGTATGAGACATGTCAATAGAAACCTGTCAGCCACATTCTGCTCTTTTAAGCTCAGCATGCTTAAAAGTCACTAAGTACTTTCTTCCATTCAACACCACTTACAAAGCAAACCAAGTGACCAATGCGAGCAAGGATAAATAAAATATCTGTTTCAGTTTGGAATTTGGAAAGCAAATCCTTGTTTTACTAAAGTCAGCTATGATTAAATGACTTTAATGGACTCAGGATCATACTTAGGAATTTCTGTCTTCTACTTTTATACTCACAGAACACCACTTAGTGTCCTGTCTTGAAATAATTTTCACATCATAGATTATTGCAAAACCAACAGGCATCTTAGCTGCTGATAATAAAAGCATTTGACAGAAAGAGAAGTACTATTCCTTGTAACAAGGCGATACAAGTAGCAAAGGTCAATTAAGTACAGCAAATGAAACACACAAACTGTGTAACTCAAGCATTGGTAGCTGTGTCCTACCTTCCGCAATATTCAAAACTTTTTTTGAATTGAGTTAACAATGAATCAGAGCATCGCTTTTGTCAAAAAGTGTAATCCCTAAAATGCAGAACGTATCGGTGATGGTTCCACATTTGTTTTAGTGATATAGATCAGCAGCGTGTAAAAGCATAATCAGACAACAGAACTGACAGCAGTGTTTTTCAGAACTTTCTAAAACTTGTATCTGAACAGCAAATCACAAGAGCAGCACAGATAGCAACTCTTGCTTTTCAGCACATTCACTAAGGTATTGGGCCTCTCTCAAACTATTGTATTGGCCACCACTTCTACGCCACATTCAGAGAGAGATCCCAGGACACTAAATACAAGCAACCTACACACCCTCTGCTTCAACTATTGCATAGTTTAAAAGAAACGAGTGATCTCAATAAGAGCTCTTTTAAAGAAGGGGGCTAGGTGCCTTCAGGAAAGGGTCTTTGGGCTATGGAAACCAACTGAACAGGAACGTCCCCTAAATCCCTGAATGAGGCTCGGCACTGAGAGAAAGGGTGAGGGAGAAAAGACAAGCGTCACGCTCATCTCCAGCATTTTGTATTTTTTGGCATTACAGATGTGTACTGTATAATCTGAGCAAAGAGAGATCATTGCTCTGTGTATTTCTTTTGAGGAAGGAAACAATAGCAAGGTATTTCTTTCATCTCCTCTTGCACGATGAATCTAGGCACCTCAGCTGCAGTTCTGGATTCCATCGGGGGACAGATAAATCAAAACAAGCTGTGGCAATTCGGTGTTTTCATGTGCTTGGGGCTTTACCAAACCCAACCTCAAACTATGCAGATTTGAAGGAAGACTGATTCTGCTGGTCATAATGATCTGAAGCTGGCATAGCCTCTTTTCCTACAAGATTTTGGACATTGTTCTTTCTTTAACAGGGAAAGAACTAATGAAACATTGGTGAAACATAATTGCAATATATCATCAGAATATATATTCAAGAGAGAAAGACAGAGAAAGACAGAAAGTCAGAAAGAAAGGAAGAAAGTGAAAAGCACTTTACCTCACTTTTAAATTGCCTTGCTGTGGCTGTCCATCGTAAATTGACAAAATATCAAAATCTTCCTCAAGGGCAAAAGTAAGAAATGACAATTGTATCCTGTTACGTTCTCCTGTTATAATGATCCATGTGCAGTTGGCATAATTCGGATAACCATGAGGAAATCCGGGGCTTTCTATAGTACCATTTGGTCCTTGTACTAAACCTCCACAGTTTTGACCTGAAAAAGAAAAAATGTTTCTGTCAGTGTTTTTCCTTCCCCATGACATATTCTTACATGTGTCGCCATATCCAAACTTAATTTTATAATACATTTTCTAGATTACAAATACCACATAAAATTACATTTCCACCATTTTTCCCTCTGGATTCACAACCCTATTGCTGGCTTTTCTGAGACATCGACTATATTTTTATGAAATGAATTATCATTTGAGGTTATTTAGTATTAACAACAGTTGTTTTATTCACCCATATGTGAATTTTAAGAATTAGTCTTGATGCCATAAATTCAACCCTATGGAAGTTTTAATGCCAGGGTCTTCAGAACACTTTCGAAAAATTCCATTTAGAATTTTTTTGTACAAATGCTAAAACAAACTACTGTTGTGAAACACACTTCCAACACTGAGAACAAAACGTAAAACACACATTCATTATGCATCTTGTTGCAACAGATATTAAGATTTTTATACTTAAAAATGTGACAAAGCTTCTATTTTCTTATAATAACTTTAGCAGCATAGGTATTATAATCAGGAAGGTGTTAATTTTTCTCTAGCATTCAAAAAAAAACCCAACACGAAAGATTTACTCAGCAGGCACTTATGCCTGGTTTGTATATCCTGCAGACCTTGTGAGAGTAGGGTAGCTCATTAACAGGAAGTCCTCAGCAAGAAACTTGGATTTACAGTGCACACAGTTGCTAATTTTCTACTTGATTTTGTTAATCCCGAATACAATAGTTGTACTAGCTCCGAGATGGAGAGAAGCATTGATGAAATATTTGAGCAGAGAAAAGTTTAATGACGTTCTGTGCACTGTAATGCTTGGATTATTACATGCATTTTAAGCACTTCAGAACAAGCATAATCCCAGCATTTATTGTTATACCTAAACCTGAAAACTATTTCAGGTTGCAATTTTATTTTTAACTTCACAGTAGTAGGTCTCTGAAACTAAACCTTTCAGATAAATGCTGTCAAATGCTTGTGGGAGGTTTCTAAATCTTAATAAAATGGATTTAATAAAAGGGTTTTGCTGGTTAAAATTAAAGAAATAATAAGTAGTCATTTTCTACTACATTTCCAATCTAACAGTAACTCGAATGAATAGATGTAAAGGCTGTGGGGATTCAGTAGGCCATTAAAGTAAAAATCTTCTCATGTATATCTAACAATTGAGTCATTGCTTTAATAAAACATAGATATTACTAAACATTCCTTAAGAATGAATATATTACATTATGAACACAGCACAGAAGTTTCAATTATGTACTGTTTCTCATAATTTGTCAGCATTCTTGAAGATTCTTCGCATTGTATTCCTTTCCTACAACCATAGCAGAAATGTCACACAAATGTCAGAGAGCAAATTTAAGTAAATTTAAGTAATTTAATTGCTACAGAAATAATATTTGGAAAATAAAAAAGGAAAGTTATAGTAACAATCTAGATACTCTAATAAATTACTTCACGTCACCAACATCCAGAAACCCATTTATGTAAAGGCGGTATCTCCTGTAAGCCATGATGCTTGGCAGTTTTCCTACCATTTTAGCCTCAGGTGGTTGCTTTGGAAGAGCAGAACTACTAAATGCAAGTAAGCAATTGGGTCTAAAATCTATCAGAGATAGAACCACCTCTTTGAGGAGTAGAAATCTGTAACTCTGCTAAATAAATAATGTGAAATAATATGTTAATTATAGTTCTGATTTCTGTCCAGATAGACAAACTACCCTCCCAATAATTAACGAAACCCTACAGCCAGCTTAAGGCAAAACTGAATATTGCAGGGGTAGCAGGTGAGTCCCCTCAGAATGGCCACTACCCAGTGGCCTCCTTACAGAGATGTCCACCAGCCCTTCCGAGAAGCTTTTGCAACCGTCAGTGATGGCTTTCGGCCCCTCTCCAGATCCCCCTGTATATATAAAAATCCTTCCAGTTCTGAAAATATTCATAAACATTATGTCTATTCACTTTGTACCCAAGAAATATGTGACAAAAGAGAACTAGAAAGAAAATTACTGTTAACAGCCAGAAGTTTTCTCTTAATTTTATAAGCATGCAAATAAATATACATTTATTTACTTAGTATTCAGTAAAAAACACTAAAAATCCTACAAGAAATACAGAATTAAATCTTAGTGATTCTGCTGCTAACACTGGCAACTACAAAGAGGGTCCCTTTTCAGGACCAAGCAATACCCAAAAAGACAACAAGAGATCTGCAGGCCCAGAAAACTGATATCCTTTTAGGTCTGTCCATGCTCACTTGAGATATGAAGCATGTTTAAAAAACAATGCTGGGGAAAAAAGGATCAGTTGCTATCTGTATAACACCTACTTTGTCAATAAATTTAACTCTAAAGGCTTCAGAACTGTCAAATGTTACACCTCTGCCAAGTTTATTCTACATTAAATAACTTGACTGCAGAGACGCCGCAGACAAGTAATGGGACACTAATGACATTTATTAAGAGTATTCCATTTCTTATGGGTGCCTTAATAGTAAAATGTGTCAATAAATTCCAGAGAATTCAGAAAGAAAAAATAGGAACAATTACAGCCACTGAACATACTGACAAGAAAATATTTAAAAAAAAATAATACTAAAAGAGTTTAAATCGTTCTACCAGGCTAATGTAAATATAACAGAAAAAGCAGGCTGAATACAAGTGAAAACATCCTAAAAATCAAATCTCACATAATCCACTCTAGCTCCAGCCCTTGTGTCATACATACAGCATTAAAAAAAAGAAATATTGCCATTTTTCACAAGATGTGCAGCCATTGGTTACGCAGAGTATCAGTACATGGAATTATTTTAATATTAAAGTTATACTAGACTGTCAAAATTGTATTAGTATGACACTACGTTGTTGTTTATATGAATGTAAACTATTCTACTAGCATTAATTTCCTGTCATGTGTTGTCTGTAAGAAGATACTTCAGGACAGCTACTTTAACTTTATGATTTAAAAAAGTGTGGCATAAGAAAGCTGAAGCTCTTGGCTGGTTGTGGAAAATCGTTTACATTGATTGTAGCCTTAAAGATTAAAGGGATTGTATAAGGTTATCTGAGAAAGTTTCTTTGCATGTCATATACCAGGGTTATCAAAATACGCTTAACCTAGGCCTGCCTTGATTTAACCGAGAGGGAAGGAATGCCAAGACTCCGTATTTCTGCAGAAAAAGCACAGTCAGGCAATCAGAAAATAGAGATGCAACCAACAGTTCTTGAAGAGGTAACCTTCAAGCAAGGCCTATAAACCTGCATCACAAAAAGGAAACATTAACGAACGTATTTCAGGTACATGTGCCTGTACATATTCTGCTATTTATAATCCACAGTGGAGGAGGGGGATTCACACCTTAACGCCTCGTGTCAGACTTCAGAAGAAATTTAGCCTCAACCCTTCCCAATTTTACACACAGAAATTCTCTTAGTAAAACTAAAGTAAGCACATGTTGCCACACGCGCGTTCACGCTGATGCCTCAGCTCGTTCTAATTGCCTGTCCTTCGTTTGTAGCCGTGCACTGTTTGTTGGTTTTACTTGGTACTGTGCCATCATAGATACAACGCCATGCACCAGAGCATGGAACTGTGTTCAGTACTCTGCATAGCTGCTGATGACTGTTGTACTCAGCTAAAGAACAAATCTCAGGTCTGTCCCCTCCTGGCTGTACACTATAGATATTTAAATGCAGAATACGATTCTGTTTTGATTACTTTCTCATCGGATTAATAAATTTTGCATTGTAGTGCAGCTACAATAGGAGGTCTAAATAGTTTATAAATCCATGGCTACATAACTTTCATCAAAGGGCAAGATTTAGCCTTAAAATTGTTATACTAAATTGTTTATAAGAGAAGAGGAATTGAATCTCTGTTTCCCACTTGTTGAGAAAATGCCGTTTAAGAGAAAGAGTAATTTATGCTTAATTGTTTGAAGTAAATAGTTTACAGGCCTACTTTCAAGCCAAGACTGCAAGATCTGGATTTTGAATGGAGAAGCACCTATCTACTTAGCTTTCTCCATTGGCAACATAGATCCCTGATCTGCATATATGTTGAGTATCTGAATTCCTATATGAATTATATCCTTTTGTGGAGACTATTCATCTAAAAACTAGACACTGAAGTGCATCAATGTGCACAGAACATCTGCATCCTTTACTATAATTAGATCTTAATTTGCAAACAATCCCACTAGAATTTCTTGGCTAATCTGTGGGGTAAAGTATAATTCAGCTTCATCACAAGTATCAGCATCTGGCCCTTCATCATTAATTTACTTTAAAAGTTTCCTCAGAGAAGTTATGACTGTGTCAGAACTGTTCACAGTTCTTCCTGCAGGAAAAGAAGGCTTTCAAAGGTATTTCAATGAGACATTTCAAGTTGTACTCGTTTAAATTGTCTTTGCTTCTCTAATTCACGAACTCTAGCAGCAAAAGTAAACTCAGACTTTTACCTAACTTTTTTTTTAAACTATTATGCAAAGAAAGATAACTCCCTAGCTCTGTAATTAATCCTAAAGTTTTAAAACAATGTACAAAAATTCCATTCACGCTCATCAGTCAAAGTATACAAATAACCTCTCTATCAAAGTTGCAAAGAAAGCTAACTAATGAACGGACAAATAAAGGCTTACTGAATGTACAAAACTCTCTGCCTGAGGCCTGTGCTACCTTCAAAAGCCATTCTGTATTGTCAAGCAAGAAAAACAAGCAAAAGATGTTCTCTCCATTATTACAGACTCCAGACTGAAGAACATGCACGAAACCTCTTATTTCTTGTACGAGTCTTATCGCTATTGTGCTGCTTGGCTGAAAGACAGCTTCAGCCCCAGCTTGTTTAGATTTACCTGTCCTTGGCCTTCTGGAGAGCAGTATCCAATATTTGCAGGACAACAGAGATTTTATTTTTTTCTATATTTTGCCTCCTTAATATGAACCTAGCTTACTATTAAATAGAAATTTTAACAACACAAAAACAG